AGTGAACAAAATAAAACGGTTTCTTAATTGGCTATCCAATAACACTAGAGATGAAAAAATAAAATATGTTTGCAGGGAAACTAGAAATCAACTTGTGTGCAAACATATGTCTATGAGTTTCAATCCAGTGGTGTATTCATCTTCCAGCCTTCCACATAATATTTAGGATACAGTGGAAGGACAAAAATTGGAATTTAATTAGACAGGAATCTTAGTTTAACATAGTGACCAAAAACAACATCTAGTTGATCAGTAATATATAACTTATTTAACAATTTTTATATTATTCTTCCAAGTGAGACTCGCAAAGATGTTCTGCTTCTCATTATTTCTAGAGATTCGTCGCTTTGGATCATTAATTTCCTTTCCTACTATTAAATTTGGTTTGTAATTAATTTTGCAAAATATTTATGCAACTTTTCTGTTTCCGTTCATTGAAATATTTTATTTATATCTGAATAGCTTCTGAAGAAAACGGACCAAAAGTGATCATTTCTCAAAGCTCAGATAATATATATCACATGACTATAAACTATTTTCTAATTACGATTGGCTTGATATTTCCACAAAAATGAAATGAAAATGCTTGTCCATTGACTGTTCTTTTCATAATAATTTTGAAATTAATATCTGTGCTGCATTACAGAAAACAATTTCGCCCACAAATGGAATGGCATTTTGGTTGTCGATAGTATAGTCTTTTCAATCAAGTGAACATATTCTACAGCTATATACCTACACGCCGTTTAAAACTCTTATAGCCGCAAAATCGGCCATTGAAGAATTTATAAATGTGAAGATGGCTATTTTCTCCGACAAAAGTTTGATCAGGAACACATTTGTCCCGTGAACTTGTCCCTGTTTCATGCATTGATGCATAGTGGTATCTCATAGCCCAGAACCGTGTTCCAGCCTAGCAATGTAACCTAACCATGTCCGGATGTCCTTGGCTCCCTGCCGATCACGGTGTCACGTTAGATGACCAATCAATCTTTGCATTAGTCACCTCTCGTGCACGCTGCCATGACATTTCCTCCATGCTATCACAATGCAAGTTGGCAATCAGATTCTGAATTCTGATGAGCACAATTTTTTTGATGTGTAGTTTGATGTGTTGCCTCAATTTATCTCATTCTGCATGCATATGTTCGACTGCTATCTAAATTCATCACAATATATACAAATCAGACTTGACATATTTTAATTAATTTCACTTAAACTGCAATTTTTTTACACCTGAATCAACACACATAATAATATAACATGGTCGACAAGGATCACCAGCATCCAAACTCTTAAGAACATGTGATGCGAGTTCCCGGCAAAAGGTTCGATCCAACTTAAAGGGATCACAAGACTTTGTCTTTGAGCTCTCATCCTTTCTTTCCGTTAACGTTCGAAATTCCCCCTCTAGCCATCATCACTTTAGGGGTATCAAGCTTCTCGAGAGAAAAACTTTAGGGGTATCAAATCCTCCCAGGGCAAATGTCCTCCTGTTAGATAAGAACGAGCCAATGATTTGTGACAATTCATTGGACCTCTTGTTGGAAAATGATCCCAAAAAGATCATCGCTGTGCCGAATCAACGGTCCTGGGGATCACTTTATTCTCCAGTGAGGTGCAATTACAAATTACTGTGTCTTTGACTGTCAATCCACAGATTTTTTGAACAGAATCTGAATATGCCCAAGAGATGGTGGAGATGTCGTTCTGAGAAAGTAAAAAATTCCCAAGGCATATACCCAAACACTTTCACTTTGTGTGCTCTCCGCTGCCTGACTCTTCTATCCCCAGCTACAGTTGCCAAGGGCGACAAAGAGACGACGAGCGTTGCCGGCGGCGATTCCGCCGGTCTCCTCCCCCTTCGGCGGCCGGAGAGGCGTCGGAGTGGGAGGAGGACCGGGGAACCGCCGTGCGGATGTATATAGTATAGGTAGGTGTTTGTCTAGATCTAGGGTTCGCTTGCCGGCGGTGGTCATCGGTGGAGCAAGGGTTAGTCAGGGGAGCGTTCCTTTGCGGCTTGTCTTTCGAGGCGGCGTCGACGAGGCGAAGGTGGCGGCGTCATGGGGAATAATGCTCCAACTCCTCCTCGCCCCGATGGTGCTTTACTCCGGTGACACCGGCGAGTTCGGGAGCCTTTGTACAGGAGTCCGGCCCGGAGCTTCGTCGTCTTTCAGGTGATGTTGATCCTGTCTTTTTTCTTCAAGGATGCGGGGTGTGCTGCGGGTGTTGCAGATGATGTCCGGCTGGATCTGGCTCGTTCTTCCCTCGGCGGCGGTGGTTGTCGATGGAGAGCTCAGATCGAGGAGTAGGAGGGCTTGGGGCGTGGCCCCAGTCGATGGGCAACCGCCGACGGCTTCTTCAACTTTGACTCCTACCAAAGCCTTTGTGCGATGGGGTTTCTCTAGCTCACGGTGAGGCTCGTCTTCTTCTTCGACGGTGATGGCCGGCGACGAAGAGGTCGACTGTGGCTCCTTCACGAAGGATCCAGGGGCATCGGTGTAAATTTTCTCGTTGTTAGGGTCTTTTGTGAAGTTTGGCTGGCACAGCTGCCTTTGTATCCTCTACGTACGTTTCTGTATGCGTACAACTTGGTGTATGTTTTCCTTGCCTAATACAGATGCGTATTATAAAAAAAAACACTTTCACTTTCAACTGTACAAATTGTGAGACATCTACAAGATTTTGTGTATACGATTGTATGCAGATACTATAATGTATATATGTAGATATACCATATATAATTCATGATCAGATCAAGCGAAATTTGTGCAAAACAGTTATGAATCACTGAATCCATTTTTTTATGTAGTTCTGAAAAGCAAAAATATATTAAGCAGATGTCTAGAGTACACTTCAAGGAGAATATCACAATATATGTCTCCATAGTTCATATTTAAAATGGACACTTTATGAAAGTCTAAGCTTCAAACAGCTTCGGCGACTTCTTTTTTGTTTTTCTATTGTTGAAGGAACAAAAGGTGATAGAGAATTAGGTCACCACTTTAGACAACATTGGATGGAGGAGAACCATCTTCAGACTGTGTTGTACAGCTAAGAGAGTTGCTGCAAGAGCCTTTTCTGTACTTGGGGAGTACCAGTTTCCTCTGAAAAAGTACACCAGGTTTCTGGAGGATTAACCATTGTTAATGCTATAGTCTTGCTGCAACAATCCTTAATTTTTACTAACTTAGTTGTTCTGGTAGTTATCAAGTACGATTTAACAAACCTTTTCACCTAATAAAGGTTCTGTTTTTGAATAATTATTTAAGCACCCTGAAGCTAATAAACTATCCTTCTTGATTTTGACATCATAGGCATTATCTTATTGTTCGGTGAACCAAACTTAAGAACCTAATTCTCACCTAGTTCAGATAGCTCCTCGGTGGCACAATCTTTGTTCCAAATCTTCACCTTAATGCTGCCATATGGCAAGTGACAGGAACTTCACTGTTGGTTCTAAACAAGATTTATGCTGATCTTACCAAGCTGCAAACCAAAGAATCTGAAGAAAGTAGAAGGAAAAGAAAAGGCGAGCTGTTCTGTGAGGCAACTATCAGAACTAGTAGGTTTCATCAGACCTGCGCAGTCGCGCTTATCTGAAAAGAGTGTAATTCCATCACCTTAGTGAAAAAATTAGAGGACAAAGCTTGCATTGGGTCCAGAACCACTTCCATATTGAAGCCACACGAGAGATTTTGCTTTGAACCAGCAAAAAAGCTGTGCTAAGCATCGATTCCCAGAACAAAACTAGCTCTCAAGTACCATGTGCTCTTATCCTCAGAACATCTGGGTCTTATTTTCCATTCTGCTTCTTAAACAGAATTCAGCATGTATGTACAACTGATAAGTAACCAACTTAACATTAGCAGGTGCAGAATGTGGACATGGCAAGAAATGAGATTAAAAATCTACCGGTGTGCATCAAGTAATCTGCCAACATTATAAATAAATATACTGATGCTTCAAACATTCAGTGGCCCAATATTCCTTAGACTACCATACTTTGAGTTCTATATTCTCAGACTAATAGAGACTAACATCCACATGAAAATAACTAACCAAGAACTGACCTGTCACAAGTGGACTTGGCAAGCAAAATATTGAGACTAACTCCTAGCCTCCTACTAGCTGGACACAATTGTGACATGCCAGACAGTTGTTTCGATGACTCTGAAGGTGCAGCAGTCGCCTTCTTTTAGGTTGTTTTCGCTGCAAAACCTTTTCAAGCCTGGTCCACTTAAGTAGCCATAGTTGATGGCGTTTTTGAAACATACAGACCAAGATCTTGTGTTGCCCACCGATGTTTTCAGTGTGATTTCACATGCTTCCAAAAGACCAACCGAAGAGCAAAAGGACCCTTTCAAACTCTGCATTATTACCACAGTTTGCATAAATGCTTCAGATAGGGGGATGGCAACTTTTGCGAATAACAGAGTTTCCAAGTACCACTAATCGAATATGATGAAGAGTAGTAGTTATGATGTAGAGCATGGACTTTTGGTGTTTTTGTGTATTGTAAAAACACATTTTCCTAGCTTGAAACAAGTGTAAGATGGTAGTGGTTTTGTTGCCTTTTCTGTAAACAAGAATTCTTAGTCCGAATTCAAGGGTTTCAATGAACTACCTGAACCAGTCCGTTTTGGCTAAGGTCAAGAACTATGTATTTTAAGTGTGTTTTTCATTTTTAGATAAGAATGAGGTAAATATATTGCAATGGGTCCAAACTATTAATTCAGGTCACTATAATCATTTATCCCAAGGTATTGCACAAACACTTTCCTGAATAAGGTATTCTAAAAAATCAGAATGAACTAAATTACTGTGTGTCGATGTGGCATGCGTTTTAAAACAGAAATTGAAATTTGCATGTTTATTTGTTAAACTGAGAAAATCCTCAGTACAAAGACCTGAATTGCAAAATTCAGTGGAACAAGGTGGCTGATTTGCACTGGTTTAATTTCTCATTCGTTGACAAGTATGTTTATCAGAAAATTAAACTAAACACAGTTGCAGGAATCATAAGTGCTCACAAATAGGCGCGTAAGATCAAAGCCAGTAACCCGCTTTGTGAGTGAATGACAAGGCATGGTGCAGACAAGTTTCTTATGCGATACAGCCTTCTTAGCAGAAATTGGGGAAAGATTTGGTTTTCCGTGATATACATCCACACGGGTACTCTCATTCCTGGTCTTCTTTTTCTTCTTGACAGGTGAAACACCAAGCTCTTTATCACCTGCACAATCAATATAATGTCACATTACCATAAGTGACAGTTCATAACTAAAGCCACTCAAGACTTGTACACTGTGCTGACTCACCTTGTTGCGGCACGGTGCTTGGACCTATCACTATCAAGTCATCAGTCATGTCGCAGCTGCTGCTCCATACTCCTTCGAGTACCCGTTCTGCAGGAACGCCTCAACTGTGAAGAACATGTTATCTTCATACCGGAACAGAAGGATGTTCCCTTCAGAGAGATTGTGAGCGGTTAGAAACTGCGCCCAGCCATCTCCAAGTAGCACCCCCGACTGACCGCGGTCTAGTTCAACATGCCAGAACTTGCCGAGAGGGCTGAAAACCATGGCCTTCTGCGTGCTTGAACAACTTCCCGTCAGGTGTTCTTGCACGAATTTGTCAGGAATTTTCTGAAAGAATGGGCAAACAAAAGAAACAGTGGCCAATGTGGCACAAATAGCTACATTAGAATGGTGAATGTTGTTTTTATCTTTAATGGCATATGCCCCCATGTGTATCAACATTAGATACACATGGAGATGCATGTGGTCTCAATGGCAAATTTTCCAGGTTCCATTAGAACATTATAAACTACACATGTGGTAGCATGCTAGTTGGTGTATGTATTCAGTGAATAGAGATTAGAGAGGTGCGTGAGAGCTTGGTCACCATCTTTTCCAGGTCTTCCGTGTGAAGCACTCTCATGAACCGGGGCCTGTTCTTGCCTGCTGTCACACCTGTGCAGCCATGCGAAAGAATCGTTCAAACAATCAGCACGAGTTTGCCGATTTGAATATATATAAGCATGTCCGGTGATGTTCACCAGCGTGAGGCGTGCAGAACCGCGCGAGGCAGCCGGCCGCGTCGAACGCCCTAACCGTGGCCACCCCGGGCCGCTCCAGTCTGAACACCACGCTCCACCCGGCGCCGATCCCGTGCGCGGCTGCGAACTCAGCCCAGGCACCGCCGAGCTGCCACGACGACCCCCCGCCAGCTCCGCCCGCACGGCGCAGCTCCGCGCGCCAGACCTTACCGAGCGGGCTCACCAGCAGCACCACCACCGCCCTGCCATCCCCCATGGCCATGCCCTCCTCGCCGCCGAGCTGCGCCGCGAACTGGCCCGGGACAAGCTGCATGGATCAGGCACGCAGCAACTTAGTAGCGGCAATGTAGCACGATGCGTGTGAAAGAAACGAGGAGCCACCTCGTGAAGGTGTAGCGGCTCATTACCAGGTGATGGAGAGGGGACGGCGACAGCAGCGCCGCCGTGTACTTGCGCCGCGCGCGGTGGACGGAGGACGACATGCTCGCTCGGACGGCTCGGTGGACCGTGGACGGATACGATGCGGCGTGAGTGCGCGCAGGCTGCAGGAAGAAAAGGAGACGGGCGGCGACGCTTGGAGTCCCCGAGGCGGCGAGGCCCCGACGAGAGCACCGAGGCTACATATTCATTCATAAAACAAGTACGTAAATTTTTTTTTGAGACTAGTGTACGTCTGTCGCTAAATATATGTCCTTTTCGTTTCTGAGATTTGACTAAATATCTATATCTCTGTATCTAAAAATAAATTAATAAAATTTCAACCTATTTTTTTTCGTTTATCCATTTTTTTTTTGTCCGTCTTCTCCTAAGTAACTTGGTAAATATAGAAATAGTCTGAATCCTAATCTATATAGATCTTTTCTTACCAACGCTCCTCCATACAATACCATTTCCGAGTTTTCTGACCGAGTCCAACTCGCTGGCATCAATACAAAATAGAATAGAACTCCGAACGAGTTCTATTAAACAGACTACTTGTTACTACATAACGATAAAAATAATAAGTAAAGAAAAAATAATACTAAGAAATAAGTCATAATAGGGTACAGATACCTTTCCCAAAGCAACTACGTTCAGAAATGAGTTCTAATAGGATACAGATCCATTTACAGTTGCTCGTAATATTGCCAAATACGATTTTGATTTTGTTTGGCCGTGTGCCTTCAACGAGGACTCGTTGGTGTGCCGTACCATGGCAGGATTGTTCTTCGTTGCTTACATTAATATATCTCTTTTTTTAGATTTATTTATTTTCTTCATTGTATGACAGCGTGCCGTGCAGCGCCGCGGCCGTACGAGGACGCGCAGGTCGCTGGCGACTTCGCGCCGTGGATCCAGCTCGCGAACAGCAGGTTCTACGAGCCTCGCCGGTGTTGGATGGACGTGATCGAGCCGATCAACAAAAAGGCCTAGAGAGTTTTAAAAAAAGACCTGGAGGATGGCGTAAATCGTCGGGTGTCCCATGAAACCAACATCGCGCTGGTGCGACCCGCGGCAGCTGCCGACGTCGGCGTCTGAGAATCTCCATGATCTGCTCATCCGAAAGGAGAACGAGGGTGTCCCCGTGCCGAACGCCCGTCTTGGCGAGGACTCCAGCCAAGAAAAAACAGGTAATGCGACGGCGGAGTGATGAGTAAAGAGCGACATCTATGGGAAGACTGACGACCGAGGACTGGCGACCGAGTGACAGGCGACGTCTATGTGAAGACGGGCCGGATTCGCGCTTGACCGGGACGCAGGGCTTGGCGTGTGTCGCCACAAGGTGCGGGACTCAGCATCTGTCGCCGCGGGGCCTGGGACTCGGCATGTGTTGTGCATTGTTTCAAGGCTCGGCATCCATGCCAATCGGGCTAGGCATGCACCACCACGGGGCTTTGCATTAAGTCCGCCAAACCACTCGCCGGCATGGAGCGGGCGCCCACCCGAATCTCATATCGGAATTCCGGAGCAAGAGGGCGCGGAGAGCTGCTAGCACAGTGGCACAACGCAGGTAACCTCTTTTCTCTGCTCCTTGTTGATCAGCTAAATATACAATAGTTTTTCTCCCGTTACAACGCACGGATATGTTTTGTTAGTATATTAAAAAATATTAATATTTATGATACATAATTAGTATCATTGGAAAGATCTTTGAATCTAGTTTTTTAATAAATTTATTTAGAGATACAAATGTTGCACGTATTTTCTACAAATCGAGTTAAACTTGTGGTACGCACACCAACGATGACAATTATTTAAGGTCGGACGGAGTACTCGCCAAATTATCTAAACACTTCATATATTTCCTAATGCATGGTTTCTTGAAAATAATTTTTTGTCTAATCATGTCTTCTCTATATGATTTATCTATCACATCTCTTTGTATCGGTTCCAAGCAAATAAGAATATGTTTTTGATGCGGCTCAGATATGCTAAAACAGCACAAACATTAACAGGCTAAAATGCCAATGCGAATGCACAATAGCTCACCATCTTGGATCGTACGCTCTATGTTATAATGCTTTTTCAACCCTGTTTATTTCCTTTGGTAAAACTTTTGCCTAGTACTTTTAACCCATGTTTTGGGCAAATGGATCTAAACAGGTGGAGAAAAAAGAGCAAATCCAGGAATGCTAAATATTTGCCATTTGCTACCCAAGAGGCCCAAAACTGGGCTAAAACGCCTGGGGCGCGAGCTGGACGCCCACTACACCCGCACCCACCCACCCCGCTCGGTACCCTTATCCATTCTCCTGCACCCACCACCCGCCGCTCTCGCTCTCTCCCTCCACACAAACCCTAGCTCCGCCCGCCGCTCTCGCTCTCTCCCGAACCACCAAACCTAGCTCCGCCCGCCGCTGCCGCCCAGATCCAGCTTCTCCTCCCCGACGCCCAGATCTAGCTCGTCCTCCCCGCCGCGTAGCTCCAACTTCTTCTTCCCGTTGCCAGATCTAGATCCGCGCAGCGCAGATGGATGGATACAACGGCGACGGCGACCGCACCAGGGACTTCTTATTGCAACCGGATCCGTATTCCCCCACCGACGGCTACGAAAACTTCCCCGAGGCGGCGAATCCTTTTCCTAGCTTGAGCAGTGTCTATGCTCCCCGGTTGGGCAAGGAGCAACTAGACCTCAACTCTCAGGGCGAAGGGTGGCCTGGAATGGCGGCCTATTAGGGCATCCTTCGCTCCAGCTCTGAAGATAAAGGCATCACCAGCAGCATGGGCCCTCCTCTCGTTCGCGTCCGCAGCGGCAGTCATACCCTCGACTTACGCACGGCTCGCAGTGACGATGGAGGAGGCGCCATGTGAAAGATCCTAATGGCTATAGGGGGGTGAATAGCATATAAAAATTTCTACAACAACACTAAATAAAATAGTTAGACAATTATGAGGCAAAACAAATATTGCGCTAGCCTACTAAAATACAAGCCACTTACCATAATTCTAGTCTCTATGATCTCTAGGCACACAAAGGCTATGTCACTACACTAAGTTAGTGAACTCTCAATGACTAACTAAAGAGACTCACTAACCACTAGATACGACACAAGCAACCTCTCAAAACTAATTACACTAAAGAGCTTAGCTACACTATGAATGTAAATACACAAGTGGTTGAGATGTTTATACCGCCGTGTAGAGAGGTGTGCCAATCACAAGATGAAGCTAATCAATTACAATAGAGTCTCGGTGACAAGAGGTGACACAATGATTTTTCATCGAGGTTCACTTGCTTGCCGGCAAGCTACTCCCCGTTGTGGCGATACACTCACTTCGAGGTTCATGCGCTAATTGGCATCACACGCCAAACCCTCAATAGGGTGCCGCACAACCAACACAAGGTGAGGATCACACAAGCCATGAACAATCCACTAGTGTCGAGGACCTAATACCGGGGTACCTAATGAGGTGGAACCAATGACCATCGAACGTTGATACTTCCGATCAGAGGAGAACGCTACTGCGTTTCTTGTCTGAACGACGGAAGACTGGTTCCACCTCGCCCGACCTCCGGAGGCTAGGCTCTGCCTCGCCCGACGGCTAAAGGGCTGGCTCCGCGCTCGCCCGCCCCCCGAGGGCAAGTCCCGCCTCGCCCGATGGCTGAGGATAGGCTCCGCCTCACCCGACGGCCGAGGGCAGAGTCCGCCTCGCCCGACGGCTGAGGGCAATCTTCGCCTTGCCCGACGGCCAGGGGTAGAGTCCGCTTCGACGACGATTACACCCTGCTCCTTCATAATGACGAGCACAAGGTACGACAGGACATTCAAGTCAAACTTAGTACCAAGGACCATGCCCTGCACCGCTGCAGGAAAGTACCGTCAGGGTACGACGGGACGGGCGCTTTAGGCCATTCCAGGCGTGGCAGAGTCCGAATAGTGTTGTAGGCGCCGCCTTCAGCCCTTGGACGTGGAACCTGACATAGACATACGACAAACACGACGGTCCAAGAAGAGACTCGCGCCCTCTACAGTGACGAACATACCATCACTGCACCGTCCGCTCCCCATAGGGCTACGGGTCAACACCCTTGTCCGACACGCCGCCCAGAGGAGCGAGACAGGATGTGACCACTTACTGATCCAGCAAGGGCATGGCGCCGTCAGCACACAGGCGTCCGGCAAGCGTGCCAATCCCTGACACTGTCTGGCTGTGTCAGCAAAGCTAGCTCAGAGGAAAAGGAAGATCCAGCGCCATCAGAAGGGCTTCTTGGCCTATGGGTTTTCCCCTTTCTCCGAAATGTAACCCGTGTCTTCCCTTAGTCTATAAAAGGGAAGGCAGGTCACCCCGCTAAGGGGGATGGATAAGCACACAGAGAGACCAACCGACACGACTCAACAACACACATCACACGCAGCCGAGTTGCCACCGGGCTCTTGGCATCATTTCGACCATTCCATTAGAGACTTGGGACCAGTCCCTCTCTCGACCGTTTGTACCCCCTACTATGAACCATTTTCGGTGCTAATAACACGAGCAGCAACAGATTGGACGTAGGGACATTCAGCCCGAACCAGTATAAACCTTGTGTCTTTTAGCGCACCATCTGGGCCTAACACGCACAAATATAAAATTACTAGTTGGTGTTGATTCGAAACACTGACAGTTGGTGCGCCAGGTAGGGGCCTTTGCGCATTCCAAATCAGGCCTCGGATGGCTAACCACGCAATCAGCTGGGTCCCGGGCGCACACGTGCGTTTCGGTGACCAGGATTTCATCGTCACGGTGGGAGGAGAGTTGGCGTTGGCCCATCTCACCATCCAATCTCTCCCCTCCATCGGCTCCGGCTACCGGAGGCTTGAGGGCTAGCCCGGCGTCTCCCTTGGACCCTAGCCGTCCAAGGAGGCCCCACGCCGCCTCACCCTCTCTCCAGAACGCTCCACACAGAGCGCCTCGACGACGTTTTCGTTCGGTCTCCGCAACGCTGCAGCGACCGTAAGCCACCTTGTGGCCCAGCGCGCGATCCCGTCCCCCGCGAACAACGAGTTCGTGGGGATGATTG